CTCCTTGAACCCCAGTCGGCCTCAGCAGATGGCCGCTCACACTGAGCCTGGTTCTGCTGGAGGTTTCTGAATCAATCTGACTGATCTGGTCGATCTGGATCTATAGTGACCTGAGATGACATGATGTGAATTGGAGCTATAGAAATAAACTGAATTGAATTTCGTTAAAATTGCAAATAACAGACGCAGATAAAACTGCTGCATATGAAACTTTACCTACTTCCTGTTTTGCTCTTCACTCTCTATGTTTTGTCTCTACTTCTAGATCTTTGGCCTAGAAGATCAGTCCTTCCCGCTAGACATGGCTGAAGAATCTGTTGATGACATGTACCATAACTGTGATACCGAGATGGAAAAAAAGGTCAAGGAAGAATATTTTAAAAATGAAACAAACAATAAACTGTTTAGAGGAGTGTGGAATGAATCTGAAAATTGCTCCCAAAACAACATGAAAAAAAGAGAAAAAGAAGATGAAAAACTAACAGAATATAATATGAAGGCAATTTGTGTTTACACGGCTGGAGGACAGAAAAACTTCTACCAGATATTCAATCAAGCAGTTAGGATCATGAGAAGGAACTATAGTTCATCCTTTGAATTTCATTCCCTACATTTCTGGCTGACCAGGGCTGTACAGATACTAAATAAACCAGAATGTAAAACCACATACCGCAGAACCGAAGCTGAGTTCACTGGTGACGTCAACCAAGAGATGCGGTTTGGTACTTTTACTTCTTCTTCGGAATTACCTTACCTGTTTCATTTTGGTAAAAAGACATGCTTTAAAATTCGCACTTGTTATGGTGCTAATTTAAAAGCTTACCCAGTCCTGAAAAATCATGAGAAGGAATGGCTTATTCCTCCATATGAGAAGTTCAAAATAACCAGCAAAGATAAAGCAGATGAACTCAGTGACTGTGACAGTGTTTTTACTTTGAATAGTACTGGTATCCTAAGCAACCTCAACTGCAGTCTAATACATTCATAATTTCTCTTCTTCGGCTATGCCACTGAAACTAAAAGCCATAATTTCAGGTTTTGAATGTAGAAATCATAAAGGCTTCAGTAAACACCTACTCATATCTGGCTTTATTGGGTGATTCTTAATGTTCCGTCTCTGGCTGTGATGATCATTTAAAATAAACTGATGTAAATTTAAGCCAGTGGCTACTTCAATAGAGGTAGTAAATTTGACTTCAGCCATCTCAAAATGAACTATTAGCTGGAAATACTTTCTAATTGAAACATCTTTTTTTAACCTGGTAGAGAGACCAATAAGCCGAATCCACAAAATGAAATCCACAAAAAGAAATTTGTCAAACAGTTTGGAGGTGTTTGGAGAAACTTGTGTAAAAACTTGTATTTAGGTTAAGATGAACTGGTCACTTCTGCTTCAGACAAGACATTGACTGCTTAAAGCTTCTCTTTTAAACCATTTTAACTGCTAAAATGTTTGAAGACAGGGATTTTTACCTGCTGTTTTGCTTATGTGTTAGCATGGATTCTGTACTTTTTTTGAACAAAGTCAATAAAAGATGGCACTGGTACAATAAAAGAGTGATGAGAGAGTCTGTGTGTCTAATTCATTCATCATTAGTGTTATTAACTAATAATGTTTATTTCTAAGGCTGTTACTACCAACACTGCTGCCATACTGCTAGTAGCACATAAAACACTCATTGTAGTATGAAAAGTGTGGGGAAGGAACATATCTTGGTGCACGAGGTTGAGACATTCCAGCTAGAGATAGTCCGACTTACCTTGACGCATGGCTCTGGCTCTGGCACCAGTCTCATTGCGATGGATTGAACATTCTTCCACATTCTTCCACTCTGGAGTTGTCCTAATCTTGTTGCCTGTACGTTGGGGTTTTACCTTGTCGAGTGAAAGGGTGGCAACCAAAGACTTATACCTGGAGGGGAGGGGGGTATCTTAGACACTATTGGCTTTTGAACAAAGCCAATAGTGTCTAAGATAGCATTGAAGGCTGCTCTTAAGCTATCGCCTTCAATGTCAGCATGGATGTTAAAATCTCCCACTATGATGACCCTGTCAGTAATTAATACTAAATCAGAAAGGAACTCTGAAAACTCATCTAAAAATTCAGAGTAAGGACCTGGTGGATGATACAAAGTTACAGAA